AAGACTCATAGTAATAATTTTACCAAGATGAAATCGACGTTCATAACTGTAAGAGAGAGATTGGGGTTGACAAGCAGCGAAATAATTTTCAAAGCTAGATTGATTTTTCCAAATTTCAACAAATAAAGATTCATCGAATAGTGAACCTATTGTTGAATTCAACGGAAATGTTGATAATGATGCATTCAAAGCTTTTGGTCGAAAAATTTTTGGTTGAAGTGATATTGCATCTATACACGATTGATTATATAAACATTCGAGAGTTGATTGACGCATAGAATCAAGAGGCATACATCCAGCCATTAGTCCAAGAATCTAAAATCATATCATTTCTCTTTATAGATAGGTTTTTTTATTTATTTTTAAATTTTTATAAGAAAGAAACAACATTGAAAGTATGTTTCATCAACTATTAATATCGATAAGAACCTATTCATATAAAGACTGACATACAATCCAGAAGTCTTTACAGAAATGTCAGATTCTTTTTTGAGAGAACAGAAACGTGTTGAACTGAATACTTTATGATCCAGCTGATAGCTCAATCTTTTCTTTGTCGAACGGTATATAAGAGCAACTGTTATCAGAGAACATTGAAGAACCAACTCTTTGTTCCGCAGAACAAAGAAATCGATTAAAGGACGATCTCTATGATGCATTCTTGACAATGATGAGAACTTTTTATGAATACGAGATACGACGTGAAATGAAAACCGGAAGGATGAATACAAAGAAGAAAACAGAGTGTGAGTGTGTACAAGTGAAAAAACTCATCAGAAGAGTACTTATGATAAAATCTGAATATCTGAGTACAATGATTGAGTGCTTGCATTGTAAAATTGAGTTTTTTTCATGAGTAATCATGATACAGTTTTTCTGTAATCTAATGGTTTTCTTGTAAAATACTCCTAGGCCTATAATCTGTGTAGTATTGCTGTACTGTATTTATTTTATTTAATCAAAATAATAGTAAAACAAAGACGTACATTATGAAAATTTGAGAAGTAAAGATACTACATTAGGGTTGGAGATAAATTTTTTATCTTCAAAAAATAAAAAAACGTTGAATAAAAATTCGTATTGGGAACAGTATACTATGAATAAAGATATATCAGTTATAAATGATTCCTCTATTCTTTAAATAACCATTCATTGAACCAGTATGAATGATTTATCCGAATACAATAGAGAAGAAAATACACTGGTCCTCAAAATAGTTCTTTTCCATTTTTCATTTAATTACATCATTTTATCTTTTTAAAACTATATGGAGTATTCACGCGTTCGTCTGCAAGTAAATCTTACAGAAACAACTCATATCAGTTCTTGCTAGTCCATACGAAAAGCATCATTACACATAACATTTCTGAAGTACTCGTGCTGGCAAGTCGTACTCGCCTAATGAGTATTTTCACTAGGATGAAATTTGTGGGTAGACTGGTTGTGGCGTGTAGGATAAGGAAGAAACTGCATACACCTTCATGAAACTGAATCAATATTTCAATGTACTCATTGCACTTTTTGGGTGTTTCTCAGAGATGTACAAGGGTGTGGGCGTGGGTGTGGATATGAGCTAGTTTGTGGTTGAGAGTACTTTGTAATTAGCGTGCACACCTGCATTGCAGTGGATCTGACAAATTCTCAAATTCTGAGTTGGGGAAGAGGAGGAAGAGAGGTCATATTTTCCGTAGATTATGAAATGCATTCGTGTTTGTGCACCTTTCTTGTTTCTTTAACAAATAATCGACTCTGAAAATGTTATTCATGCCAATATAGTACAAATAAGACCTAGGCAATCATAAAAAAAGCAAGAAAAAAAGTCAACGTTTCGAAAAATGATTATTAAATTTTATTTGAAATCTTCAACAAGATATTCTAATTCAAATACATTCAATTGTACATTATAATTCATTGCAATTTCAGTTTATTATTTTCTCATAAAGG